AACCACGAATTAAGAACACCCAGCAATGGAGTGATACCACAGTATGATTATCACCCATTCTAATCATAGTGCAAAGGCTTGATCGTTATTCTAATGGGAGAGAGTTAGCGAGAGAGAGTATGAGAAAAATTCATTCGGTATTTGATTCATCCCACATCCCATATATCGTATCAGATATATAGGCTGACCATCTAACCATCTATCCATATCTCTTGATAAGATATGATAGATATAGATAGTGATAGTAGGCTATCCAAATAAGATAGGTAATAATTCAAATTCAAATTACATGGGTAATTTGAATGGGTTATGGGTCATGCCACATGGGTGCCCAAATCCAGGTCTAATACTCGGCCCAATTTCTAATACCTCCCACTCACACATGAGTTGGTATGACACTGCCACATCTCTATCTCAATCTCCCCAAATATTGAACAATCTTATACTAGCCAATGAATCGTGCGACCACTGAGAACACTTATATATAGGAGCTCTATACTAGAAACTGAATATGAGCCAGCATAGAGACATCAACCCCAAAAGAATAAAAATAGTGTCTTATTTAACCAGATCATCTAGCTACATCAGTCCAAAACATCTTTAATCCCTCAAGAGCATGTTTGACCCTTCTAGGTCCCGCATTATATTCACACTTAATCAACATCCTATACAGAACGATGTGAGTTGTCGACAGTAAATATAGAGCAGAGATGTAGAATTAGATGATCTTCCCTTCACCCTCATGTCATTTAACTCAAAATTGACCGCTTCCCCAGTAATGTCCTTTAAAGTCGAATCATACATGACTGCAAGCAACATGTTAAAGTAGCCGAACATCAACTCCTCATCTTATGACATAGTAAAAGGTCACAAAAGGCCCAAAGTGAAGTCATTGGAAAAAATGACTTTTAGGACTCATACGGTGAGGAAGCAGGGATTCATTCTCTTACTTCGCTAACAGGTCAATAAGCATATGCAGTACGAATGCATCCTCTAGTGGAGTAACTCTTCCAAAGAGTGATGTTAAACTCACACACCATATAGATCTTAGTCTAGTCGCTCTTAAGCGCACAAGTCGCTTCCTAGCGCCTAACTCGAATTCTCTATTTGCTCACCTCTCAGGCATCAAATGAGATCTCGCATTAGGCTATCCATAACAGGCACATCATGGAAAAGTGGGTACTCTCATATCTGTGGTCGGTAATTTTAGCCTAACAACCAAGGCGACATAGCTAGTGGATAATTTTAGCCTCTCTCTTGGCTCTGAATACAATAAGCCACTAGTCTCATCCTTGCTCGCTATCTAGCACTCAGGGCGATTGCTCGTATGAGTGAGCCAATCTTGCTTGTTAACATCAAATTTATTTATTCTGTGTGTGCTAATTCACAAACCATGGCAAAAAATAGTAAACATAAATGTGTAATCAAAACAAATATGAATACTTATGGCATAAATATCCCCCCAAAAAAAGAGTTCAATTGAATACACATACATCATCACCTACGTAGTCCTAAAGCCCTAACATGAGTAAGATAAACATTTATAGCAATGGGCTTAGTCAAAGGGTCAGCAACCATGCGACTCGTAGGGATGTGCTCCAGGATCACTTTTTTTTTTGTGCCACAATGTCTCTGATAAAGTTGAACCTCACATCAATGTGTTTGGTTCTCCAGTGGTACTTAGGATCCTTAGCGTAAGCGAGTGTAGCCATGCTATCACAGTGGATAGTCACAGGGTCTGAAGTATGTGTAATAATATCCAAATGCTGAAGGAATCTCTTCAACCAAACGATTTCTTGAACGACAGATGAACAAGCCACAAACTCAGCCTCCATAGTCGATAAGGCGATACAGGATTACTTCTTACTACTCCAAGTAATAGCACCATCTCTAAGCGTGAAAGCATATCCTGAAATGGACTAACGCTCATTTAAGTCTCCTTCCCAGTCAACATCACAATAGCTAACTAGACGTAGATCTAAACTTTGGTAGCAAAGTGTGTAATCTGCAGTCCTTCTAAGATATCGTAATATCCTCTTAATTGCTTTCCAATGAGCTGGTCCTGGGTTGGATTGGTAACGACTTACCAATCTAACTGCATAACAAATGTCAGGGCGTGTACACATTATAGCATACATCAAGCTTCCAACAACATTCGTGCAAGGTACATGGGCCATCTTTTCTTTTTATTCTGGAGTCTTAGGAGCCATAGCAAGGCTTAGACTCTCGCCTTTCACAACAGGAGTGTCAATGGGTTTGTAGCTCTGTATCTGGAATCGCTCTAGGATAGACTTAATGTAAGTCTCTTGAGACAAACTGAGAAGTCTCCTAGAGCGATCTCTAAGGATCTTAACACCGAGCACATAGCTTGCTTCACCCATGTCTTTTATCTCAAATGTAGAGAACAACCACTTTTTAGTGGTGACAATCATCTCGTTATCATTTCCAGCTAATAATATGTCATCCACATATAATGACAATATTAGAAAAATGTCCTTGGACCACTTGACATACACGCAGTGATCTTTATCGATCATCGTAAACCCATTTGAAACAATGGTTCGATGAAATCTCAGATTCCACTATCTAGATGATTGCTTTAAGCCATAAATAGATAATTGAAACTTGCAAACTATGCGTTTTTGACCTACTACCACATAGCCTTCTGGTTGATTCATATAGATCACTTCATCCATTTCCATTGAGAAATGCAGTCTTAACGTCCATCTGATATAGCTCTAAGTCCAACTGAGCTACTATGGCCAGAATTAGGCAAATAGAGGCAAACCTTACAACTGGTGACAAGGTTTCCTCATAGTCCACACCCTCTAATTTGGTGTAGCCTTTCGCCACTAGGTGAGCCTTATATCTTTCTATGGAACCATTTGCCTTGTGCTTGATTTTGAGAACCCATTTGTTCCCAATAGTCTTGCGCCCTGACGGCAAATCAACGAAGTCCCAGACATAAATTTTTCTTCATAGACTCTATTTCTTCATCCATTACAGCACTCTATTCTTTACTAGCAAGGGATGAAAGAGCCTCTTTGAGATTCTTAGGCTTTATCTCATCATTAGGAGCAATCATGAATGCTTCCCCTTCAATCTCAAAACGACGATGAAATATAGCTCTATGTTTGCTTCTACGCAGTTGAGAGTCCTGAGAATCCTCATCCATTAGATCTAATCCATGTGCGGGTATATCGTTCCCTCTATTCCTAGGAGCTTGAGGGATTATTTCTTCATTCTCTACTAGGCTACTAGGTGCGCCTTCATGTAGATCCTCCATCTCATAAAGCTCTACATCTCTAGTTACCTCACCTCTGCTAAGGAAATCCTCCTATAGGAAATCCACGTCATGTGACTCAATTTCAGTCACACTTCCATCCGGATGCTCCCCAATAACACGTAGCCCTTAGAATGCTCACTATAGCGAATAAAGATACACTTCTTTCCTCTAGGGCCCAACTTCCCAAACTTATGAGAAGCGTTGTGTATGTAAGCTGCCGAACCCCAAGACTGCAAATTGCCCATATTGGGCTTTTCACCAGTCCACATGTCATATGGAGTGGAAGGAATTGATTTGGAGGGCATAGGGTTAAGAATGTAGGCAGCAGTCAGCAAAGCATCTCCCCAATACAAAATAGGAAGATTAGGTTGCGCCATCATAAATCTAACCATGTCAAGCAATGTGCGATTCCTTCTCTCCACTACACTATTTTGTTGCGAAGTCCCAAGAATTGTCAATTGCTTGAAAATTCCTTTTTTCTTACAGAGCACTTTAAATTGTTCAGATAGATATTCGCGTCTCCAGTCAGTCTTTAGAGCCTTAATGCTCTTGTCTAATTGATTCTCAACCTCATTAACATACCGTCTAAAGCAATCCAATGCTTTTGACTTGTGAGAATTTAAATAGACATGGCCAAAGCACGTGCAGTCATCTATAAATATAATAAAATAAGGGGCTCCATGCCTTACCCTCATATTTATTGGTTCACATATATCAGAATGAATAAGCTGTAATAGAACAGATGCCCTTTTGGCTTTCCTAAATGGTTTTCTTGTTGCCTTTCCAGCAAGACAGTGCTCACAAGTAGGCAAAGTGACTCTAGCGAGTGGGCCTAAAAGCCCTTCTTTAGCCAATCTAGTCATTCTGTCTTGCTCTATGTGGCCTAATCTAGCATGCCATCTCATAAAATCATTATCACAAATAGATGCAATATAAGAAACAGAGCCATTGACATTTTTATTAAAACTAGAATCATCCACATCCAAAACTAAGAAACCATCTAAAAGATAATCAAAACCATAAAAAATTGTTCCCAAATAAATGTTGACACCATTATTCTCAAAACAAAAGCTAAAACCAAGGCTCATTATATTAATAACTGAAACTAAGTTTTGCCGAATATCTAGAGCATAAAGAACATCATGAAGATACAAGGTGCACTCTCATTGCATTTCCAGCTTGTATGTGCCAATGCCAAGCACCTCTACACTGGAGTCGTTCCGCATGTAAACTTTTCTGCTTCCAGCAGATACTCAGTGATACTTAATGAACTCTACTCTATTCCTCGCGATGTAGTCTGTTGCTTTTGAGTCTACAACCCAAAAATGAGAAGAATGAGCAATTAATGCTTGACTAGAAACAAAGCATTGAATGCGAGAAATTAAAGGAGTACCTTCTTCTACTCAGGGCAATCCCAAGTGAAGTGTCCTTCTTTGTTACAGTTAAAGCATGTCAGTTTAGCCTTTACCTTCTTTCCACCTCTCTTGCCCTTACACTTGAAATTTCTAGTGCCGTTGGACTTTAGTGCAGCTGCTACTTGCTTCTTAGGAGCACCTTTTGCTTTTCCACGCTTGAACTGAGAAGTCCTACATGAGCTTGACTCAACCACCATAGCAGAACCGTCAGACTTAGCCACCTCTAGGCGCTCAGTCTCTAGCTCCAAATGACACGCTATGTCCTCGAATGTTTTCACACTTTCATTATGCATTATGTTCTACTTCATCTGCTCCCAAGAATTTGGCAGAGAGCAAATCATAGCTTGTACTTGTTGCTCTTGAGTCAAATTGTGCCTAACGGCCACAAGCTCACGTATCATGGCTGACATGACCCTCAAATGCTGCTTTATAGAGTGATGCGCATTTTTCTGATAAGAGTCAAACTTCATAGTCAGCCGATGTAGCTTTACCAAAGATGTGACACCAAATTTTTGCTTGAGAGCTTCCCATATCTCAAATGCAGTCAGGCAATGCTTAAACTCACTAATCAAGTCGTTGTGCATGCTGCTCAACATGGTAAAGCGCGCACACCGATCTTTGTTACTCCAAGTCTGATAGACTTCAAGATCACGACGATGTTGAGCTGTATTGCCCTACATACAGAGTAAAGAAAGAACAAATGCGCAACGAATATTAATGTTAGCAACACAAAATTATTTTGTTGCAAAAGAATCCAAATTAAATAATGATAACATTACACGTCTCGAGATCAAAAATTTGCAATGCTCGTAATCATCCCTTGCACCTCTAGTGACAATTATCAAAATTTAATTTAATTCCATGCGCAAAAAAAAAAAAAAAAACAAAAACAAAAAACAAAAAACCTCCCACTACTTATGGCATGTACAACGCATGATAATTAGTTTCAGTCCATAAAATAACATCTTAATGTAAATTTACAATCAACTTATGCTATATTTCATTTAATAATGGAATTTAAATAAATAAAAAAATGCTTCTCTAATCACAACATATTACAAACTCTAGGCAAAAACAACAATATGCTGTGTTTAATGTTCAGATTATGCCATAATAAATAGTTTATCATTTCTGAAAATTTTCTAGTATTTTCTAGAATTTTAAATAATTAATAAGCACACATAAAATCATAAATAAATATTTCAAAATCTGAGAAAATGCAACAATTATACCAGTAAATAGTAAACCATTATAGTAGTCTGCAGTAAAAATTCAGCCCTAGAAACTTAGTCATGCAACACCAGAAGCATTTTAAAGTAGAAATAACAAATTATTATTTCAGGAAAAATATTTTTTATTTTCATAAATTTTTGAAAAATTTATTGTAGATAAAAAAATTAATTCAAAGTCCAACAGTACCAACCATGCTTAAAACAATGCTATAACGAATTATTTATGACTATTTAAAACAATTTTGGATTTAAAAAAAAACAAACAGAGCCTTAGCATCCAGCAGCCAAACTGGTGCAGAAAACGACGCGACTTAGCTTGGCATAGTAAACGGCGTGCGCGTGGCAACGCGGACAGCACGTGCGTTGGAAGCATGACTGGCGCGTGATGACGCGTGGTGCACACTTAGCCACCGTTGACGGCGTCATCTGGCTAGTGCGGCTCACGTACCGCCTTCGGGGGTGTTTTCTGGTCCAATTTTGATACTGCTAGACTCTATTTTCCAAAATAAAAATAATGGTGGTCTCAAAAATGACATTTAATAAACACAAATGATGAGGTGTATTACACTCTCTAATGAGTGGAAGTGCAGAAACTCTGCACTTCATCTTCTTCCTTAAGCCACCAAAAACTCAAAATGAACCCAATTTAGGGTTTGATTTTTTTTATCAACCGTAAGTTCAAATCTAACAAATAATATATGGTTTCGAATGTCTCAAAATAAGGATTCTAAATGTGTAAGATTTGTAGACTAAAATTAAAACATGTAAAACCATCATGCAAACAAAGTTTCGAGAATACAAAATGGGTTTCCATTTTTCATGAAATCTAACCATTGGATTTTCATAAAACTTTGTAGATATGTTCTACATGAAATGTATTATAACTTATGTGAATTTCAGGTTGATTGGAGAAAGTTCGAAAAAACATTATTTTTCATGCATATATCATGTATACATATATCAATAATTTTATACATATTTTAATGCATAAAAATAAGCACGAAAATACCCTATAAAATGGCTCTGATACCAATGTAAGATACAGATAATGCAGCGGGTAAAAAGATTCAAACCATACCTTATGTGTAAAATCTGAAACGAAGAGCCTTGTGGGTAAATCATGTGCTTCACAACTACGAACTAAGAACACCCAGCAATTGAGTGATACCACAGTATGAGTATCACCCACTCTAATCACAGTGCAAAGGCTTGATCGTTATTTTACTGGGAGAGAGTTAGAGAGAGAGAGTATGGGAAAAATTAATTCGTTATTTGATTCATCTCACATCCTATATATGGTATCAGATATACAGGCTAACCATCTATCCATATCTCTTGATAAGATATGATAGATATAGATAGTGATAGTGGGTTATCCAAATAAGATAGATAATAATTCAAATTCAAATTACATGGGTAATTTGAATGGGTCATGGGTCATGCCACATGGGCGCCCAAATCTGGGTCCAATACCCGACCCAATTTCCAACAAGTTGCTTGAAGAGTATAAAAGAGGAAAAAAAAAAGGGGTAAGAAGAGACATTGGTCATGGATGTTTGATGAAAATGATGAAGATGATATCACTATCAACCCCCCACCAAATTGGTAATGATCAATCTAAAGGAAAAGCAAAGAAAACAAATTAGTTGTTTTTTTTGCTCCAAAGACAACCCCAGGTGCCCAACCTTCTATAAGAAGTGCATTAGCATCTAAGGAAGTTGTTGATCATGCAAGCATGGCAATTGCTCAATGGTGGTATGATGCTAATGTTCCATTTAATGCTGCTTTATCCCACTATTATCAACCAATGGTAGATGCAATGTTAGTTGCCAATCATAAATTTTCGTATGTAGATGCAATGTCCTAAAGGCACAATATTTTTGAAGTCAATTGATAACATTAGTCCTCACTAAGAACACTGACACATTGCTTAGTATTTTTTACGTGATTGTTCTACTTGTGGGACCAAGTAATATTGTGCATTTTGTTACATACAATGAATCTATTTATAAAGCGGCAAGGAAAAGATTACAAGCTAAGTATGAAACTTTTTTTTAGTCTCTTTATGTAGCTCATTGCTTAGACTTGATGTTAGAGAATTTTGTCAATCCAAAGTACTTCCCTCAGATAGATGCCACCATTCATACGGCTAAACAGATAACTAGATACATCTACAATCATGCATGGGTTGTTAACATAGTGAGGAAAGATTTCACCAATGGTAGAGATTTACGGCGCCTTGAAATTACAAGGTTTACAACAAACTTCTTAACTCTCTAATATCTCCTCAATTTGAAGAAAGAGCTTCAACAAATGTTCACTAGTGATAAATGACTTGGGTCTCGTTATGCAAAGAGTAATGTATGGGAAAGTGTGTGGGTGATTTTCCGATCACACTGCCTAACTCAGTATTCAGCTGGAGAACACTGGCAGAATAGATGACACCTGGCTAACCTGCAACAAAAAGAGAAGATTCCGGCCGTGGTTCGTCCACCCGGGGATACTCCGACGATCAAGTCAGTATATCTCTCAAAGATAATCAATAGTGCAAATCTCACTATTCAGAATATAAAATTGCGTACCTTAGACCCATGGGGTGCCTCTCTTTTATAGCTAACTCAATCCTTGTCCCAACAGGAGCCTAGCTCTAATGGACTTAGGATTTACTATTAATCTTGCACTCCCAGTAGGATTGGGATAAACTCCCTAAGAGTCTTATCCTTTCCCAACTGTAGTCTCCCCCCTTTCTAAGACTCTTATGCCTTATCCGCTTATCTCAGATTCTGATATCTTCAGAGGTAACCTCGGCCTCGCTGAGATAACCTCAGCGTCATAACCAGGACACGTGGCACCTCGGCTGACACGTCGACGTCACCTTAGCCGCGTGTTGGTACTCAGAAAATATATCCCCACAACTACCCCCTAGGTTCTATTACCTCGGCATTCTGAGGTGAAGGAACCTATATCATTCCTTCCTGCCAGTACATCGGCCTAGCCGAGATCATCATCACAGGCCGATATGTCTTTTTTAGAGATCAAGAATTCCAAGAGCTTCTTCACACGTATGAGCTGTTATGCATAACAACTTAACCGTTTAGCCACGTGTTTTCTCCTTACTGGATCGTACTCTGGACGTGCTTATAAGTCGTTTCGTGCCTATATGCGCCGTCTGACGCATTCACTGTTCCAGGCGCATTAATTGCCATCTTTTGCCGCCGTTTCAAGTTTTTGACAAAACTTGTTTCCCCCTTTCGTTTTTTTTCACTTTACATTGCCTTTATTCAAAACTCTTTCTCTCTCTAGCTTCCTCTAATCCTCTATTTTTCCAAGCTCTGAAGCTCTGCCATCGCTACCGTTCACCTCTTCCGACGTGGTTCTTGCCAATCTATTCTACTGCCGCCGTTCTTCTGACTTCGGCGATGTTAAGCATCGGCTTCTTTTCTCTGGTAAGTCACCATTCCTCCTGGTTTTCAGTTCTTGTCGTGTTCCATGAAATTTTGCTTCATCATTAGTTGTCATTACTGTTTTATTCGAATATTTGATTTGCGAATCATGTATCTGAGCATGTTTATTTCATAATTTTGCTCTTTGTCCATGTTTTGAATACTCGCACTGTTCACATACCTGTTGGTTTCTGCCACTGTTCTTAGCCTGATACACTTGTGCAATCTTTTTGTCTTGATTTCTTGATGTCTTCATCACCATTCTTATTTCTAAAACGAATCCTTGTTTTTCTGTTTTCCAGATTCGTTCCTTTAATCCTCATCTCCATAGCTTTAGGTTTGGAACTTGTTTGTAGAACCCACAATTTCTAGGAAAAACTGAAACGAATTTCTTCTAGATCCATACAAGCCCTTATCATAGCATATTTGTAGATTTTTAGCTGAGGTCCTTTAAACCCTCCAAAAATACTTCTTCCTGAAATCCAATATCTCCATTTATGCCAACGTCATGGGTATGTGGGAACATAGGGTAAATACCCCGAAAAAATTAGGGTACTTTAGGCAGGAGTTCGAAATCTTAGCCGACGTTCATCTGAGGTTGGCTGGGGAGGATGACTCTATCATGCCCGATGAAAACCTCATGCCTTTTCCAGTGGTTGCGTTTATTGAGTGTGGACTTAGGTTTCCACTTGACCCTTTTTTCCGTCAAATCCTTCATTTCTATAAGTTGAACCCAATGCAACTTGCCATCAACTCTTACCGAGTTATTAATGGTACCATAGCTTTAGCCAAACAAGAGAGTGCTAGGATAACTCTTGCCGATTTCCAGTACTGTTAGACCATGTGTCGCCTGAAATCGAAAAAAGGTCACATTTATTACCTTAAGCCGAGGTCCACTGAATACAAAATCATTGCCGACCTTCCTGATTCCAACAAGGGAGCGGGGATGATTACTTCATCGTCTCGGGAAACTGGGAGTTTCAGCCAAACGATGACCTCCATCTTTATCCCTTAAGTCGTACAGTTTTCGAGGAAGGAGTTGGTAAGGGCCACTCTTTACACATTTTTCTTGCTTTCTTGTATAAAGTTTTCAACATTCTGTTCTAATGTCTATGCTTTTTTCTGTTTTGCAGTCCTTTCTCAGCCACCAAAGTGCTTCCGTCAGTCTTTCTTTCCAAGCAAAGACTTAAAGAAACTACTGAATTTACCAATTCACAAGCGGAAGGCCCCTCTGCTTCTCAACTTTATCCCCATTTACAAGTCAGCTCTCCCCGACGTCCCAAAAAAGAAGAAGAAAAGCCTTTCTCCACCATCTGCCACAACTCCACAAGCCGCGTCCACATCTCGGATAGACCAAGGATCAACCTCTGATCCAGCTGAGCAACCTTCAACCTCAGCTCCATACCTGATTCCACCATCTCAACGAAAACGTCATCGACGACTTGTTCTTGCTGCTGAGATGGGCCGCCAAAAATTGGTTGCTAAAGATCTCTTAGCCAGCATTCCTTCTGACGTTGACGCTCAGCCAACACAAACACAGCCTCCTTCAAAGCCAAAACGAATAAAAAAGGCTCAGCTAAAGGCAAAGGTGCCTCAGATCGATTCTGAGGATACCTTGCCAATTTCCAAACTAACTCCGAGTGAGAAAACTGCCTCTATCCCTGCGAAGAGGTCCGCTGAAACATTTCCATCCGAATCTACCAAATCCAAAAAGCCGAGGTCATCTTCTGCAACGACCTCGGGGTCTAAAAAGCCTGATGCCCCCTGGGCCCCCGCAATCACTCCAGAAGATAAGTCTGTCATGGCCAATGATAGCGCTGAGGACATCAACATTGGCGTAGCCCTCAGTACTGCTCTGCTTCTCCCCGGTGATCTTGACCGAAACGCTGAGTTGAGCGAGTATGAAAATTACGCTCTGATGCTTCAACGTTCCGTTCAAGTAAGTATCTTTATCTGGCAACTTCTTCTTTTGTTTTGTTCTTTCCATACTTGTAATTTTTTCTAACAACTTTTGTTCTGTTTACTTTTAGGCCATCCAGCACGCCCATTCTTTCTCAGTTCAATCTTTTGAAAACCGTGAGAAGCTAGCCGAAAAGAAGAGGGAGGTCTCCAGCCTTCAAAAAACCAATAAAAACTTGCAATCCAAGATGAAGACCCTGGAGGACCAGACCAAGGTCGCTATAAAAGCAAAAGACGAAGCTGGGGAGAAGGTTGGTGCTGTTGAGGTGATAAACAAAGTCCTTCAAGCCCAGCTGAAGGAGGCCAATGATAAAGTGGCCTAGGCCCAAAAAGAGCTTCAAGACGCCTTGACCACCAAAGAGGCCGAAATCAAGGATGCCGACGAGAAGGCGTATACCCAGGGCATGGCCGATGTCACGGAGGCCTATGAAAAGCAAGTCAAGCAAGCATGCAACAAGGGTTTCTCCCTTGGTTGGATGACTTTGCTGAAGAAACTTGATGTCCCTGAGGACTCCTCCTTGAGGAACGCCGATGCCATTCCCCTGCCATTCCCTCAATCTCTACCTCCCAGTCAATCTAACAACGAATCTGATTCTGAGGATGAGGCCGAGAAGGAAGTTTTGGTGAGGAAATCAAAAGAGACTACTAGGACCAAGTCCCCTTCTCTGAATGGGCAAGTCCTGGACTTGACTCAAGATAAGGAGGGTGGAGAGGTCCCAAAAGATGCTGTGGCTGAGAAGACATCGGCCGTCATTCCCCTTGTCGACAAGAGCCTGGATGAAACTCTTGCAGAAATTAACGCCGAGCTTGCGGCGGATAAGGCTGCTGAGATGTCTTCCCAACAATCGTCTGAACTTCAAACTCAACCAACTGCTACTGCTGAGGAGTCTTAGCCTTATGTTTTTCCCTTCTTTTCTTGTACTTTTTTTTTTGAAGTACTGTAAACTTCTTCACATTGCCCATGTGTTTTTAATACAACAACTCTTTTGCTTTTGAATGCTTGCATGCTTGCTTTGTATGCCTCCATACTTGGAATATTTTTTCATATCTTTAATATATACTTCAATCCTCATGCAATCTTCTCGTGGTGACACGCCTCGGTTATACAAACTGATGTTTTACCTCGGCAAATACCCAAGTACTTTTCTTGGCATAACCTTGGTTTTATCTTGTAAATTTTTTCATAAAATTTCAACAAGTGTTTAACCTTGGCTTAACTTTAACTTGTAAATTGTCCATAAATTTCAACAAGTGTTTAAGCAATGATTTCGGTTTAACTTCAACTTGTAAATTGTCCACAAATTTCAACAAGTGTTAAACAATGATTTCGGTTTAACTTCAACTTGTAAATTGTCCATAAATTCAACAAGTGTTAAATAATGATTTCGGTTTAATTTCAACTTATAAATTGTCCACAAATTTCAACTAGTGTTAAACAATGATTTCGGTTTAACTTCAACTTGTAAATTGTCCGCAAATTTCAACAAGTGTTAAACAATGATTTCGGTTTAACTTCAACTTGTAAATTGTCCACAAATTTCAACAAGTGTTAAACGATGATTTCGCCTCTCTTTGCCCCCTCATGTGAACCTAAGTTCTACTTGGGTTCTCATTATACATGTATTCTAGAGACAATGTCAAGTATTTTGAAAAGAAAACCAAGCTAAATCTTTATTTATTTACTTCGGCAAATGAAAAAAGAACAAAGGAATTCTAATGATAGAAAAATTTCAAATTGCAAGTGTTCCAAGGCCTTGGCAACTCTTTGCCCTCATTATCTTCAAGTCGATAAGCCCCATTACCCAGTACCGAGATTATTCTGTAGGGTCCTTCCCAATTTGGGCCAAGCTTCCCCTCTCTGGGATCCTTTTTGTTGCCGACGACTTTTCTCAATATCAGGTCGCCAACTTGGAACTCTCTTGGGTTAACCCTCTTGTTATAAGCTCGGGCAAGCTGCTGCTGGTACGCTGCAAGCTAAATCACAGCTTTCTCCCTTCGTTCTTCTAGACGATCCAGATCTCGGGCTAAGAGTACATCATTAGTTCCGTTCTCTACTCCCTGGGTTCTGATTCTTGGGATGCCGACCTCTAGCGGAATAACTGCTTCTGTGCCATAAGCCATGGCAAAGGGGGATTCCCCTGTTGATCTTCTCGGCGTAGTCCGATATGCCCAGAGCACGTTGGGCAGCTCGTCCACCCATTTTCCTTTTGCTGCCTGCAACCTCTTTTTTATCCCGTCCAGAATTACTTTGTTGGATACTTCTGCTTGTCCATTGCTTTGGGGAAAGCTTGGTGTTGAAAAATAATTCTTGATCTTGAACTTTGCACAGAAGCTCTTAATTAGCTTACTGTCAAATTGTGTTCCATTGTCTGCAACTATTGCTCTTGGAATCCCAAATCTGGTGATGATATTTTTCCAAATGAATTTCTTTACATCCACATCTCAGATTTTGGCAAGGGGTTCAGCTTCTATCCACTTAGTGAAGTAATCAGTTGCCACCAGCAAGTACTTCCTTTGCCTAGTTGCTTGGGGTAGTTGCCCAACGAGATCCATGCCCCATTGGGCAAATGGCCAAGGACTGGATACAGGGTTCAGGTCTGCTGCTGGTTGGTGTATCAGTGGTGCGAATCTCTGGCACTTTTCACATTTCTTCACATATGCTTCTGCGTCCTTCTACATGTAAGGCCACCAATACCCCTAGGTAATGGCCCTATGGGCGAGTGATCTGCCCCCAGCGTGGCTTCTACAAATTCCTTCATGAATTTCATATAAAAAATCTTCAACTTGTAAAGGATGTACGCACCTTAAAAGGGGTCCAGTGAAGGACCTTCTGTAGAGATGTCCTTCTGCTGTCAGACTGAATCTTGCCGACTTCAATCTGATCTTGTGTGCCTCTTTGTGATCGTCTGGAAGCTTCTCTTCTTTCAGGAATACAACAATTGCATCCATCCAGCTTGGTCCCATGTCTACGCACATTGCTTCATGCTCTGTGGATAGTGGCTCGACGCTCAGGCCCGACAAATAGTCGACCATTATTGTCTTTGCTTTTCCAGGTTGTACTGCACTAGCTAGGTCGGCCAACGCATCGGTGTTGCTGTTATCATCTCGGCTAACCTGAAGTAGTCGACAGTTTTGAAACAAGGCTGCCAGCCTGATGACATCCTTTGCGTAGGTCGACATCCGTTCATCTCGGGCAGCAAACTCGCCCGTTGTCTGGTTGACAATGAGCTGGGAGGAGTCGCAGAAGACTATTACCTCGTCTGCCTCTGCTGCTACTGCCAGCTTCAGTCCTGCAATCAATGC